AAGGTTTCATAGGATACATTGATTTTTAGTTTCATTAGCTGAGCTTTTTCTATTAACTTTCATCATTATTTCTAATCTAAAAGGCTCACAAGTAATTGAAAGATATGATTTAGATGAATAAATATCACAATTGGCAATGCTTAGCTTAGGTCTAAGATGTTGGGGATAATAATAAAAATACAAGGGACACAAAGAAGACATCGGAATTAAACAATAATAACCTTCGAGGCGTGAACGAAATCACTTTCCCAAAAGTAATATTTCGACCCTTAAACTACAACCCGGGTATCACGAAATCACTTAGGAGATACAACGAAGAACAATCACAATTATGTGTAGTATAATTATGACTCAATGTAAACTAGTATATTTATTTCGTGATGATGAACAATGACAAACACATGCAAATTGACTTCGTTAATGAAGAGATAAAAATCTAATCATCTCTTCACAACCCTTACGTTGAAAATACATATGCAGCATGCAAAAAGTGAATAGACATTATTCCAAAAGGTGCCATATCCAAAAAGGTGAATAGACATTATTCCAAAAGGTGCCATATACATAAAAGTGAATAGACACTATTCCAAAAGGTGTCATATACATAAAAGTGAATAGACACTATTCCAAAAGGTTTCATATACATAAAAGTGAATAGACACTATTCCAAAAGGTGTCATATACAGTTTATTTCATCAAGCAATGCAACACTCTAAATAACTCAACAATCCTCCCCCATTTAGAGTATTAAACTAGACTCAATGCAATACATCATCATAAACAATCTTATGCATACATGAAAGTGTACAAAGACTTGAACTTCCACTTAGTATAATACACATTCTAAGAATCAGTATCCAATTGGTATCGTCAAACATTTGAACCAATATCAATACATATTAGAAACTTGAAAATATTATACACATAAGATCTTATAACCTGAATACATTATATACTTGACACGTTAAGGCCATGTGTCCATATCTATTCATAAGTACATCAAAATTATGCCCTAATAACTTCTTGAAGCGGCCAAACCTTGTAATTATATAGGTAGATCTTTCATAAACATGCTCCTGTGACAAAGCACAATGTCAAAAAATCTATTAAGTAAAACAACCTCTTTTCATCACAATAAAAGTGGAGCTTACCTAGGATGAATACAAGTTCCCAATCACTCAATAAAGAAATTAATCTTATTGAACTTAAGACCCAACGTCTTATTGGGCGTTAAGTTAAGATTTCCTTATTTGTAATTATTTAGGGCTCCAATCCTAAACCGATTGCCATCCTCTTAATAACATCTCTTGCCAATGCTTTTGTGAAACAATAAGCGAGATTAAACTTTGTACGAACATAGTCAATAGTAATTATACTATCCTTGATAAGTCCTTGAATGTAACTATGCCTTACACCAATGTGCCTTGACTTACCATTATATACTTGACTATATGCCTTAGCCAAGGTTGCATTATTATCATAATGTATCACTATAGGTGATATTGGTTTTGCCAATAAAGGCATCTCAAACATGAGATCCTTCAACCATTCAGCTTCTTTACCAGCTGAATGCAAAGCAATGAACTCCGATTTCATTGTGGAGTCCGCAATGCAAGTTTGCTTCTTTGAAGCCCATGAGATAGCACCTCCCCCATATAGGAATAGCCAACCACTTGTGGAGGAATGATCTTTATTAGAGATCCAACTTGCATCCGAATATCCTTCTATAACCGAGGGATATCCACTATAAGACAAACCATAATCCATGGTTTTCTTCAAGTATTTCAACAAACGTCGAACTGCTTGCCAATGTAGCATACTAGGATTACTAGTATATCTACTTAGTTGACCAACTGTATAAGCAATATTCGGTCTAGTACTTGTCATGGCATACATCAAACAACCTATTACTCTTGCGTACTCTAGTTTTGAAACTGCATTATCTTCATTAGGTAATAATTTTACGCTAGGATCCATAGGTGTTGAATAAAGAGAAAGAGAATTTTCACTTACATTGAACTTCTTGATCACTTTCTCAATATAATGAGATTGTGACAAGATCAACTTCCCTTTTTTTTTCTTTATTCTTATGCCCAAGATGACATCCGCCTTTCCTATGTCTTTCATGGAAAACTTTGAACTAAGGAATTCCTTTGTCATTTCAACTTGTGACATACTTGTTCCAAAGATCAACATGTCATCTACATATAGACAAATTATGACACCTTCACCGTTGTCATTAAATTTACTATATATACACTTGTCTGAATTATTCAACTAGAATCCATTAGACAACACAACCTCATCAAACTTTTGATGCCATTGCTTAGGTGCTTTCTTAAGCCCATACAAAGATTTAATCAACTTGCAAACTTTTCGCTCTTGGCCTTCCACAACAAACCCTTCCGGTTGTCGCATGTAAACCTCTTCTTCTAGATCTCCATTCAAGAACGCTGTCTTAACATCCATTTGATGGATAACAAGATTATGGATAGCCGCAAGAGCTATCAACAACCTTATAGTTGAGATTCTAGCAATAGGTGCATATGTATCGAAATAATCAATACCTGGCTTTTGTGTAAAACCTTGTGCCACTAACCGGGCTTTGAATTTTTCAACAGCTCCATCAATCCTCAATTTCTTTTTGAAGATCCATTTGCACCCTATTGGTTTACATTTAGGAGGCAAATCAGCTAATACCCAAGTATTGTTTCCCATGATGGAATCCATCTCATCATTAATTGCTTCCTTCCAAAATGGAGCATCATGAGACTTCATAGCCTCATCAAATGTTGAAAGATCATCTTCCACATTAAAAAATATAAGGAAATTGAGTCAAAACATTGTTTCTTGATCCCTCAATTAAGTACACATGAAAATCTGGGCCAAAAGATTTCTCTTTCCTAGCCCTCTTACTTCTCTTAAGTGGAGATGATGATTAAGATGCCTCCTCTAAATGAGCTTGGTCATCTTCCTCTTGATCAAATATAATTTGATCATCACCTTGAGAATTGGTATTTGGAGTAATATCCTTAGGTCTAGGAATTGATGAATATCTATTTTCATCAAACAATGCATCCCTTGACTCTATGGTGGTATGAACCGACCAAAAGTCATTTTGTTCTATCACATAAAACCTATAGGATTTGCTATGCTCCGCATATCCTATAAAAATGCATTCAACTCCTCTTTCACCTAACTTTTTACGTTTAGGTTCTGGCACTTTTACAATTGCCCTACAACCCCAAACTTTGAGATGACTCAAGTTTGGTTTCCTTTTGTACCATAGCTCATATGGGGTAACATCGTTCCTTTTCATAGGAACTCGGTTTAAAATGTAACAAGCTGTTAAAACCGCTTCTCCCCAAAATCCATCACTCAAACTCGAATAGGATAACATGGAATTAACCATTTCTTGTAAAGTCCTATTCTTCCTTTCCGCTACACCATTTTGTTGTGGTGTATTTGCCACGGTTGTTTCATGTACTAATCCTATAGATTGGAAATAACTTGGATATAGTATTCACCTCCTTTATCGGTTCTTAACTTTTTAATCTTTTCATTTTTTTGCAACTCTACTTCATTTTTGTAGATTTCAAATTTGTCAAGGGCTTCATCCTTAGAAAACAATAAGTATACATAGAAAAATCTTGAAAAATCATCAATGAAAGTTACTAAATATTTCTTATTGCCTAAGGAAGGAGTTTTGTGAGAGTCACATAAATCACTATGCACTAAATCAAGCAATGAAGTATCTTTTTCTACATTGTTAGGAAATGGTTTCCTTGTAATTTTTGTTAGCATGCATGTTCTACACTTCTCTATCCTTGGATCAAATGATGGAATTAATTCATGCTTAGACATAAAGTAAAGCTTCTTGTAATTAACATGTCCAAGTCTAAAATGCCATAGAGAAGAGTTATTACTTACAACATACACATTATCCCTAACATTATTACAAATACTTAATTTAAACATTCCATCATACAAATAACCAAGTCCTACAAATATACCACCTTTAGACAAAATAAATTTATCCGACTCATACACCATTTTAAATCCTAATCGATTCAAGATAGCACCGGATACAAGATTTCTCCTAAGCTCGGGAGCATACAACACATCTCTTAAAATAAGAGATTTGCCCGAACTAAAAATTAGTTCTACTTGTCCTTTGCCTAGCACCCTTGTTGTGGAATCATTTCCCATGTATAGGATTTCTCCATCATCAACCTCCAAAAAGGTCTTGAACAATGAATGATCCTTGCATACATGCCTCGATGCTCCTAAATCGATGTACCACGAACAATTATCCTGCACACATAGGATTTCAGAAATCACACACACATAATCCATAAATGAATTAAGTGAAATTTGTGTACAAGAGTTACCTTGCTTGTCTTGAGATTGGCTTGACTCGCCTTTCCCACTTTGAGTCCTTTTCTTGCTCATCTTTTTTTCCAAATGGTACAATCCTTTTTAAAATGACCGGGTTTTCCACAAACCAAACAAGTACGTGATTTTCACTACTAGAAAAAAGACTTATGGCAACGACAATAATCTGTTACCATATGTCTTATTAATGTTGCCATATGCATATAGCAACGGATTATAAACCGTTACCAAAAGGTATCGTTGCTAAAACTCTTTGGCAATAGCTTTCATGCATTAGGCAACATTTATTGTATAAATAATTATGGCAGCGCTTTTCTTAGGTAGCACTTTTTAACTTATGCCAACACTTATTCAACAACTTTAGGTAACATTTTCAAAGTTAAAGCAACAATTTTCGCTAATTTTAAGCAACACTTATTAGCTTGATACTAGTTGACGTTTAAAATTAAGGCAACACTTTATTTTGTTTATGGCAATGCTTCCAATTGAAACTAAGGCGACACTTTTAAACCTGTTAATGGCAACGCTTTTAATTGGCATTAAAGCAATAGATTTGATAATGCATATAATAAGTGACTTGCTTAAATAGCATATGATCGATAAACTTTCGCTTAGAAATAAGTTCTCCATAAAAAGTTATACGTAGTTAATTCAAATCCATTCTAAATGATAAGCTAAATATTTATTACAAACAAAAACATTCAATCTAAATATTTCATACATTAAACTAATTAATAAAAATTCCAAAACCAAATTCAAAAACCAATTTAATATTTTTGCTCAAAGTCCAATAGATCTTTAGATGTTTGATGGAGCTCTTCATACTTGGATATATATAGTATCCTGCAAAACAACAACAACAACAACAACAACAACAACAACAACAACAATAATAATAATAATAATAATAATAATAAGACTCTTATATTCAGTAAAAAAAATTAAATCTCAAATGAATTATTTATGGAACATTATTATCAAAACACTAGAAATTACGATTGTAGTGAGTAAATAATGAAAATAAAAAAATATTTCATCTAAAAAAGGCAAGAAGCAGGTACCGTAGCAACATCACAAGAGTATGAGGAAGTAACATCAAAGGATCATAAATTTGTGTAATCATAGAGACTACATTATCAAAACACTAGAACAATTTGGCTAAGCTAGCATCATAAATTTTGATGCCTAGTTTCGAGAAGAGGAAAGAGATTGAGTTTTCTAATCTTATACTTTTCTAAGCAATAATGCCAGTAAGCACATATTTATAACACAAAACTCAAGTTTCTAAATTATCCATTATACCATACAAAGTAGTACTTGAACAATACTGAACAAATCTGTAAATCACTGGCATGCATATATGAGCTTCTTAACACCCTGCAAATTAAAACATTTAATATCACGGTCATAAATTCCTGGTTATTCAATTCTGAGGCCTTTTTTAGCGTATGCACACACATAAAAATATATAATTCAAAACACCTAAGTATGATCTTTGGTTTGACATCCAACTCGGCAACCAAAGACCTTTTAAGTTAACTAGTATAGATGCCCAACAATCACGCTGCTTATTTGTAGTTTGTTTACTTTGTTTAGAACTTCAGATCATATAATACACCATTTCAAATTCTTTGATCACATGTAACAATGTAAAAATAGAAAAAGAGAAAGGGAAGATAACATCTAAAATGGAATAACATACCTGTTCATAATCTTAAATAATATAGTTTATGGATCATTTGAAGTTGTTGAAACGATAACTTTTGCAATAATTTCTGGAGTTAAGATAGGATCCTTTTGGCGTAGTTGTGCAAGTGCTGATATTACTGCATCTAGAGTTATATTTCCTTGCTAATTTTCAATATCCATGCGTATCTCTTGAAGTTTTAAGGTCTCAGATTCAAGCTCCTTCGTTTTCCTCTCTATTTCAGCTTCTTGTGCAGCAACTTGTGCAGCATGAACTTCTTTTTCCTTGGCAAATTCTTCAATTTCAGCATTTATATCCTTTTGAACATCAGCAGTTATAGCACTCTTAATATACTCCATGACCTCTTCTGGTAGAATCAAAGAGGTACCAGATCCTTTATCTTTTCGCTTCTTACGAGTGGCACCAAGTCCTTGTAATAATTTTGTACCTCGACGTGCATTTCCCATAACTTCATCAAATGGGTCCTTAACAGATTTACCACTCTGATCATCTTGATTCGCTTCCAATTCCCTCATTGCTTGCTGTAACAATTATTAAAATAGGTGACAAAGTATACGATAAATTTATTCATTAAATAAATTAATGGGAATGATATGGTATTTACTATCTTTTGTTTTGTATCATCATAAGGTCGATCATAAGTTCTTCCCTCCTTTCGTCGTCGAGTCTCTTCAAACATTTTTCTTTTTGATGGTGCCACACCATCTTTTCGTAGCTAAGAAATAAACATAAATAAATATATAAACAGTATAGTATCCATGAAATCAAAAAAATCGTAATATATATGGAATGTATTTCGCACCAACTGCTCATGTTTCATGGCAAAAGAAACGGGACCATTTGTATGTATGTTATCTTGTTCACGCCGATTTTCAGAATTTTGCAAACTGGTTTTCTACATAAAACAAAAATGGATAAGCATAAAAGTCAAGACAAATTTATTGAGTTCCTAATTGTTCAATTATACCTTTGCTATTGGTGTCCCCCAATAAGCTAAAAGTGTTTTGTAATGTGCTTCAAGCACTCTTTTAGGAGGATGCTTCAATCTCTCTTCATAAGTATCATACATATAATAATGATCTCTTTTGAGGCGACATTTGAATCCTCTCCATGATTGATCAAGAGTCTCCATTACCCAATCCTTAGCCTCAACTGGAAGGATGTACTCGCTCTAAAATAATGGTTAGGTTTTTGTTATAAAATACAACATTAAAACACATATAAAAGTAAACACATGTTGTATACTCAAAATAGTACAAATGAAAGAAAATAACACTTACATTCACAAATTCCCAGATTTTCTCTTTGTTTGGAACTTGTTTCTAATTTGTGTATGTCAAGTGAGCCCAACTGTAATCATGAGCAATAGTTCCTAAGAATCTAGTTAGTTCTTTCCTTGCCTTTTCAGGCCCGATAGCTTGTCCTTTGTCATTACAGTAGATAGCTACGCGATCTTCCCATTTGCGAGCATGGACATCAAACAAATTTGTTGGACCTCGCCCTTTCTTCTTAGGAACTTTTATCCAAGTAAAAACAAAAGAATAAATTCAAAAGAAATAACAAATTTTAAATAGACATAATTTTTTGGGGTATCACAAACTCTTGATACAACTTCATATTTTTTATATGCTTATGGAGGTGTCTTACTGCCTATACCAAGGGTCTAAATCCTGGCCATACAACAGACAACATTGTAAAGGTTCTTGGGTATTTGCAACCATGATAGTAAGCCACAACAGCCACAAACCATCAGCACAACCATAAGAAATGCAAGAAAGGGTTGAAGAAATAAGGAAAGTCGCAAACATAAAAGAGGGTGAGAACTCTGCAGAATTTGCAACCAATTTAAGTGAAGACTTACTAAACAAAATGCAATATATACACGCAACATTGACATAAACACTCAGACCCTATCCAGCAGCTCCAGTGGTATTTATACTGACAATCAGATAATTGTCACTCGTTCACATATAATTATACAATCCCTTTTATAGAAAGAAATATAAAAAAAGGGGGAGTTTTTCAAGTGATACACTCAATGATAGTAAGCCACAACAACCACAAACCATCAGCACAACCATAAGAAATGCAAGAAAGGGTTGAAGAAATAAGGAAAGTCGTAGACATAAAAGAGGGTGAGAACTCTGCAGAATTTGCAACCAATTTAAGTGAAGACTTACTAAACAAAATGCAGTATCTACACGCAACATTGACATATCAGACCCTATCCAGCAGTTCCAGTAGTATTTATACTAACAATCAGATAATTGTCACTCATTCACATATAATTATACAATCCTTTTTACAAAGGATGAACATCCATTGAACCATCTACAATCCAACTTGAAGCTATCAAAAGTACAGGCAGGTAAATGAAAATTGCAGTTCATTATAATCAGCTAGCAAGAAGTGTGGACCTTTGCATTAAACTCATCATCAATAAGTATATTCGCTGCCTTGATATCTTGGTGAATGATTTTTGGATAACCGGTTTTAGAAGCAGATTATAGAAAGTTGTCTAACCTTGGATTGAATAACTAAAAAGTTTACAAGACCATAAGATTTTTCAAGATTTTTAAAGGGGTGGAGTATTAAAGACAAACCTTGTGCGGAGACAGATTCTCCTCGGCTTTCTAGTGGAACAATGGTCGAAAGCAGACGCTTAGATATTTGTCAATCTTGCTCCAATTGCTGTACATCTTGCTCTATTTGTCGTACTTCAGCCGGATCCATTTGATTTTGAGCAACAAGGAAATCGTCCATTGCCATAGATGGGCACAATGGCTGCTTCTTACTCTTCCTAGGTGGTTGCTCTCTAGTTCTTGCCTTCTAGAATCCGATCATTAAGGTAATCAGTATAAAAACATGATCCCAAGAAGAAAAAAAAATAATGAAAAAAAGGAAAAAGAAACCTTCTTAGGTATAGAGGTTGTTGCTTCTCGAGACATCTCAAACTCCTCATCAAGGTCACAATTTTCTTCATCAGGCACATAGTCTTGATCATCTACGTTAGAATTCACATTCTCCTTTCCTTTTGCAAAGTTCTTATTTTTTTCTAACAGTTGTTGAGCAATCTTATCGAGCCCTAATTCTCTATACTTCTGGGCATTTCTTTCTATAGTCATGGACCTTACTTTCTCATAAGGTGCTGGTATGGACTTCGAGGCAATTTCAGGCTTCTTACTTCCGTTCTTCGTCATTCTGCAAACAAATATTATAAACAGTTAGTGGGAAAAAAAAAGTTTAGACCTATCAAACAGCACTTACAACAAATAGTCAGACATATTTTTTTTCAAATATAACACATACTTAATACTAATATATTCAGGTTTTGGGATACTTAAGCTTTGGGAAAAAATTAGAAAAGGCTAATATATTTACTAAGGAAGAAGATAATTATGAGGAAGTCCAAAGATGATTAATAAGTACTACTAAAAAAGGCAAATCAAATGTTCAAACAGCAAGTCAAATACATAAAACAGAGTGTAATATAATAAAATCGATTTTTTTTAAAATAAATACAATTGCTCAAGATTCATAATAATCTTATGGCTCATGAGCTGGAATATCATCAGTTGCATCCATCCAATCCCAATATGTATCATCATAGTCAATGTCATCTTCAAGGTTATTAACATCCTCAGAGTCTGATAAATCATTTATGTTCACAGCACGCACTTCACCACCACCAGCTCCTACATGAATATGATTAGCATCGAAAGAAGGCATGTTATTAGAACTAGAATCAATAGGCTCCTCCCAATATGTTTCCTCGTTCAGTGCTTCCTCAAAGTCAAAAAGGTCTCTTGGAACCCTTTTCATGACGTATTGAATATCTTTTTCTAATGGATCTTGGGAATAGTATACTTGATGAACTTGAGAAGCCAATACAAATGGATCATCTTTGGAACATTTCTTCTTGAAATTGAAATATGTAAGCCCAAACTCATCAATATCACCAAGAAACCAATCGCACTTAAATAACACAACGCTGAATTAAGACCAAAAGTCTAACTCAAAAATTTCTTCTATTACACCATAGTAGGTAACATCTCCGTCGACGGGATTTCGATCCCTTGAACTGGCAAAACTTGAAGTCAAAGTTGTCAAAGTCACTCCACTATTTTGAGTCTTTAATTGTGAATCACGTTCTCTAGTGTAAAACCTATAACCATTGATAAAATACCCACTATACCTCTTGGCCTTAGGATTAGGACCCTTAGCTAACCAAAAAAGTTCTCCATTAACCTGCTCCCTTTGTACTTTTTCAAAAAACCAATCAATAAAATCTTTACTATGACTTTGTGCACTATCCCATCTACGCTTTCAACCTTGGCTATTCACCCAAATCTGATGTTCTCTGAATTATAAAAGAAAAAATATCATTATTTTTATTAGATTAAAATTATAAAAACTGAAAATATATTAAAAGAAAAAAACTCTTATTTGATGTATGTTTCAACTGTTGCATTGTCGCAATTGAATACAATATATCTATGAGCCTGTTCAGACTTTGGAAATCTAATGTAAATCATTTCCTTTTCTCTTCCTTTTCCCTCCAATAGGATGTCCTACTTTAGGAAACAAAAATAATTCATCATCATGCTGATTCAAGGAAAAATTCCTAACACATCTTCTATCTAGTCTAGTGTTTACACCTTCACGCAAATATCGAGAAATAAATGTCCAGCACTCTTCCATCATATACCCTTCTGCTATACTTCCTTCGGGATTACTCCTATTTCGAACATAGGACTTCAGCTAACTACCTCTCAACAAAGTACATCCATCGGTATTGCACAGGTCCACCAAATTTGATTTCCTCTACTAAATGAACAGGTAGATGAATCATAACATCAAAGAATGCAAGACGGAATATCATTTCAAATTGACAAAGTATATCGACAACTTCAGATGCTAATCTATCTAATTCTTCAAGATCAACAATTTTACTACATATACCATGAAAAAAGTTCCCCAATCTAGTCAAAGGTTTTTGCAACATTTTTGGCAATGTCTTCCTGACAGCAACTTGAAGCAAGTGATGCAATACGACGTGTGCATCATGACTTTTGTAGCCAGAAAAATTCCTTTCTTTAACATGCACACACCTCCCGATATTTGATGCATACCCATAAGGTAACTTTGTTTCCTTAAGAACTTTGAGAAACAAATCCTTCTTTGCATTACTCATAGAATAAGGTGCTGGTGGAAATAGCATGTGGCTGCTATCTTCAGATGGAGAAGGATGGAGGTGTGGTTTTATGCCAAGATCCAACAAATCCAAACGTGCCTTATTATGGTCTCTAGTCTTTCCTGGAATGTCTAACAAAGTGCCAACAATATTGTCGAAGACATTTTTCTCGATATGCATGACATCTAAATTATGACGATATTTAATATTAGACCAATAAGACAGTTGAAGAAAGCATGATTTCTTTTTCCATGGACCTTTACCACCTCCACCTTTACTTTTCTTCCCAAAATCATTTTCAAAGTTCTCTAATTCATTCATCAAATCAATCCCTGATAACGGAGAAGGTGAAACTATCCTCTACTTCTTCATTGAATGAATTTGTATCTTTCCGCCAAGGATGATCCATATCAAGATGCCTTCGAATATCCATGTAACAATTCTTTTTGCTATGATGCAAGTATTTAGGTTTCACATCATGGTTACAATTAGGACATGCATAATTTCCTTTAGTTGACCATCCAGACAACATGGCGTAGGCTGGAAAGTCATTTATCGTCCTCATTAATGCAGCATGCAATTGAAATGATTGTTTTTTAAATGCATCATAAGTCTCAACCCCAAATTCCCATAATTCCTTCAATTCGTCAATTAGTGGTTGTAAAAAAACATCTATGTCATTTCCAGGAGACTTAGGGCCAGGAATTAACAAAGACAACATAAAATATTCCGATTTCATAGAAAGCCAAGGTGGAAGGTTGTAATTTATCAACACAACAGGCCATGTGTTGTGAGCAACACTCATAGTTCGAAATGGATTGAATCCATCACTAGCCAGAGCTAAACGTACATTTCGTGCTTCATTTTTAAAGGCGAGATATGATGAATCAAAGTCCTTCCAAGATTGGGCATCTGCCGGATGTCTAATTTTGTCATCTTTTATTCGGCCTTTATCATGCCAAACCATTAATTCGGCTGTTTTGGAACACATGAATAGTCTTTGCAATCTAGGTATCAAAGGAAAATGCCTTAAATCTTTTGTAGAAACATTGTTAGACTTCCACCTAGATGTACCACACTTTGGACAAACATCCGCTCCTTCAAATTCATTCCTATAAAGAATACAATCATTGGGACAAGCATGGATTTTTTTATAATCAAGACCCAAATTCTTCACTATATTCCTAGATTCATTAAATGATTTAGGAAGTTCGGCCATTGGAAATGCCTCTCTTAATAACTCTAAAAGATCATCAAAGGCTACATTGCTCAAGCCATTAAGGCACTTAAAGAGAAACAAACGAATTATAAAAGACAATTTTTAGAAAGTTTTACAGCCTGGATAGAGCTCTTTCTTTCCTTCTTCCACCAAATGAAAAAACTTTCTAGCCTCCTCATTTGGCTCACTTTCAACCTCATGATCTCTATTTAGACCTTCACCCACATCTCTAAAAGTATCATGTAGTAAGCCATTGATATCATCATTTGTACTTTGATTATTTACTTCATGCATAGTTTGCCTATCATTATTTGTAGAAGAAAATCTCTCCCTTTGCAAGACCCACTCCTTGAATCCCTTCACAAACCCATTAACAATCAAATGATCATAAACGTCATCCCTAGAATGGCAAAAGTGCCTCGAACACGTTTTACAAGGGCAAAATATTTGATCTCTAATGGCGTCCTTGGCAAAATAATCATCAAGAAAAATATTCAAAGCAACTTTAAAGTCCTCCGAACTTCTAGGATAGTTCATCCAATTTTGATCCATAACTTAATATATGCCAATTCCTAAATTACACAAACAACTAAATTTAGAGATCATCTATATTATGAAATGAAAGAATAGATTTGATAGATATTAATTGGAAAAATATACAGTACTAAAGCTGAAAATAGAAATCTGAAGCAAATACATATAAAGATCATCTATGATATCTAAACACGTACACATATTAGTTATAAACCAAAATCTAGTACATATAAGTTTATGATTATTAAGATCAAAAGTCATATATAAGAAGAGAATAATTAGTTTTACTCACTAACTAGACTGAAAATTATAAAGTGTTTAGATAAAACTTCAAATAAGAAACCACTAACTATGAAATAAAAGTTAGGTAGACATTATTCCATTAACTCATAAAAATTCCTGACTAATAAGAAATATGCTACTGGTCTATAAGGAACACTTACTTGGCATCAACTATCTCTAGCTAAAAACTATCTTTAGGTTCACATACGCTTAATCTCGTTAAAATATAAGATTGATAAAGTGAAATTATACTTTATAAAATCTTAATTATTATGTGTGGTTAGAGATACTCAGAACAGCATAATGGAAAGGAGGTAGTAATAAAGTGGGAACTTAAGGAATGTAAAACTAGAAACATAATAGAAAAAGAGAATTCAGATGCATATATAAATCACTGATTTTTACAGAAATGCTTTGATTATCAACAAGTAAATAATAACAGGTTTCATATGTACTGATGTACATGAGAGACATCAGCAAAATATTTTGTTTAATACTTCAAAGTAAAGGCAAACCTCTATTTGTGAAACCATGTCCTTTGTCACAGAAATTGTATCTCCTCCAAGGGGATATCCTACAACAATGATTGAATCCTGCCCATGAAAATGGCCACATCATAATTAGTTTGCAATAATCCAAAGGAAAAATAATTTGATAGATTATATTTCTTTACCATGCTTTTTAAGATGTTATTTCTAGATACTATCATAATTCTATTGACAGCAAGAAATACCAAATTTAAGTGGAACTATTAGAGCTCGCCAACATTTATAGCCATCCATTCAAATGGAAATTCAGACATTATATCTCAAATTCCTTAGACTATATTTCAAACTATTCCACATATTCTTGCTCATCAAGTATTTAATCCTTCTGTGTGAGTTGCTCAACCATTTACAACAAGGCTCAACAGTCAATGCAGAATTTTCACCAGATTATCTCATCATCTTATAATTATTTGTTTACACCACTACGGAGAGAGTACTTATTATAAGTGTAAATTAAACATGTAATCTATAGAGTACATTAAGACCTAATAATATCATTTTCATATATGAGAAGAGAAGCCATAAGACTGTAGTGGATAAGTCTCTGTAATTTATACTTGATGTTACAGGTTTCAGGCTTTGTGTAGCCAAAGTTGGTAATTTTGAAGTGAAGGCCATTGCACTAGGAAAGGTGCTAAGTGGTCAACACAATTTTCTTTTTTTAAAAAAGAAAAGATATAGATGCTGTGTCCTTAATTTTTTACTTCAATAGCTATGGAATATTTTCAACCAAATCTCAGAAGGTTGCTCCTCTGTAAGATGTTTCACTAATATCTCACTTATATCAGCGTATTTTAAACCAGCAGCATCCATAAGCCAAATAAGGAAGGCACACACCAAACAAACCCAAAAAACAACAAATCAGGGCACCCAGCTACCCATACAATGAGTACAAACAGCCCCCCTCCCTCTCTCTCACATCCATATAGTATTGCATAAGCCTGGCAGCAATACTACCTTGACTACCAACATCAGCCTTCCTCATCAAATGATCCCCTTGCTAACCTGCTTCTCCATTCTCCCTCTAATGCATCAACTTATTTAATTACAGCCTTTAAGACAATTAACATCAACTTATTCAATCACTCGTTCACTCGTATAAGACCCAGTTCTACTTTTTTTTTAAAAAAAACACTAAAAAAATCAGAAATTAGCAATTATAGGCAAGAAACTGACTAATGTTACTAATCTTTCCCATTTGGAAATTATAAGCAAGTTCACAATCTAGAGTATATAAATAACCAACATGTCTAACAATCCCAAAAAATTCTGTAAATTTATTCAAGTAATTTCTCTTTTGTTGATCTTATACTAACTAGCAACATGCAACTCACCAAGAAAACACATTAATTTACAGGAAAAAAAAATTCTACGGTAATTCATAATAAATCAATAAATTAAATTTAATTACATAAACTCTTATAATCAGATCATACAATTCCCCAATTTACAAAACCCTAAATCCCCTATTCAATAACCATTAAGGTGACCTCAGTGTATGACATTGTAAACTATGTTAGGCCACTGATAAGCTGTAATTTTTGTTTGACTTTGTTGAGAATTATGTACAGAAGTGAAAAACGAGCTACACTCTGCCAGAGATTGGACCTGTGATGAGGAACTAATTCACAACTGTTTGGAGCGCTTCCTATATGTTCATTATTATGATAGTTTAGAGTTTCTTGCTACGCTGAAGGTGATGAATGTCAATCTCTTCAACTGTCGGTCGCTAGATCTGCTTTAGAATGGCCATTTTGGCTAGACGAATATGAAGATTAGCTAATAGTCTTTTGTTCTCAATTATCTGACTAATATGCTAAAACTGAAAATTTATATATGTGCCATTTATAACAACTGCATCTGCCATTATTATCTTTTATCTGTTACTGAATTTATATCAATCTTGGAAGATTGGAATCATCATCTGATCAACTTCTCCATATGTTATTTCATTTTAGTTTGTCATTATAGATAATTGTTAGTTCATATTGGCATGGCCTTATCATCTGATATAGACATTGAGTTTGGTTCTTTTTATTGCTTTGTAGACATTAAATTATCAACTTCAGACCAAAAGAAAGAAGCTTTTGTTGATCTTATACTAACCAGCAACATGCAACTCACCAAGAAAACACATTAATTTACAGGAAAAAAAATTCTACGGTAATTCATAATAAATCTTTAAATTAAATTAAATTACATAAACTCTTATAATCAGATCATACAATTCCCCAATTTACAAAACCCTAAATCTCCTATATTCAATAACCATAAGTTCCAACTACATAATTGTGATATCAAAATCAAATTGGAGATAAGTTATACAAGAATATATCAATTTATACAACTAAATTACATACTAACCTTGTTCACTAGTCTTGAGAGCAAACGAATTTCGGTAAACTGTGATTCAAGCGCGCAATTTCAACTTGCCTGCAGAGAATTGTAATCGGACTATGATGACGAGATTGTAAATCAACCCAAATTTATGTGGGAAAATAAGAGAGGGATGATATAAGAATTGTTGGGGATGAGCAGAGGGAAGAAGGAAACAAAAAAAAATTGACAGCTTAATTGGGGATGAAAAGAGGGAAGAGGGAAACCGAAAGAATTGTTGGGGATGAACAGAGGAAAGAGGGTTTGTGAATTAGGAGAGGGTTTGTGAATTAGGAAACGAAAGAGGGAAACCAAAAAATTGACAGCTTAATTGAAAATTTTCATCTTCCCGGAATTTTCATGTACCAAAAAAATCCTTATTAGTTATTTTTATTTTCAATTAGAAATTATTTAATTAATTAATCCATTATAAATTATTAATATTAACTAGTATCGGTCACTTAGTTAAACCGTTGTCAAATAATATCTTTTACTTATTCATTAAAAGCGTTGCCATTTTTTTCTTTATAGCTATAGATTTTAAACGAAAATGGTTAGTTGTATCATTAAATTAAAAATTGTTGCCATATGTCTACTTATAGCAACACTAATAAAACTGTTGCAAAAATGTGTGTTGCTATAGCCTTCTTTTGTTGTAGTGCACGTAGATTATAATCCACAAATTAAATTATTTTAATGAAAAAAAATTAAGTAAAAATATAGGAAAAGATAAATTTATTAATTCAATTCTACGAGTATAAGAAATCCAAAAAAAATATACTATGAAATATTTAAATGATAAATGCTTATAATAAAGTTTGATACCTATCATTATAAGATAAATTTTGATAGTATTTATGATAAGAAATACAAATTGTTCGTTAATTATAATTAAATTAAAATTTGTGATACCTACCATTATAAATTGACACATCATACGACACAAACAAAATTCGTATCAATAAAAAACCCCCATCAAGCGAATTTTATGTTAGTAATTTTGTATTAAATTTTTGTCATCAATGTCCGGGCAATTTTTAGCTTAATTTTTAAAATCCTATGTTTAAATTAGTATTTCTAATTATTACTTACATTGTTTTAATTTGGGATACTCAACGATTATATGTTTATGTTTTATTTACTAAATGTTTTTTTACATGCAGATCTAACACATTATACGACACAAATAAATTTGTATCAATACAAAACCCCATCAAGCGAATTTTGTGTTAGTAATTTTGTGTTAGTTTTAGGTCATCAATGTCCGGGTAATTTTTATAATCTTATGTTTAAATTTATATTTGTAATTATTAGTTACATTGTATTTATTTAGGATACTTGACGATTATTTGTTTATGTAATGGCATATGATTAGATGTTGTATACTTAATATATGGACGGCTTTGGTTATTTGGAGATGATGAAAAAATTCCAATGCATAGATTTGATTTTATATCGCAACAATTTTCATTTATTGGTAAATATATTGATTTATTTTATATAAATGTAAAAATTTAATTTATATCAATTTCAGTTTGGCTAACATTTCACGGTTCAATTTATCAATTGATGTAGTAGGTTGGTTGTGGACGAGGTTGGTGATTCTATCGAAATAAAAGATATGGTAAAACAATGAATAATGATTTAGGATTTAAATTATTAAAAATTTATCATTTCACATTAAAGATTTTAAATAACAGAAAAAATATTATATTAACAATTTATTTATATTTAATAAATTCATTATAAATTATAGTAAAAAAAATAAATATTAAATACAATAAATTAAATAATTAAAAATCTTAGATGAAAAAACCGTGCATCGCATGGGCTTCATCTAGTTATATATATGGTGCACCTAGATTAGGTGGACCACATATCCACACCTATACTACGAATATTTTTAAAAAAATACATTTTGTAATAAAATATGAACACGTAAAAAAAATGAACATTTAGTAATAAAATATGAACATGTAATTAAAAAAAATGATCGTTTAGTAATAATAAAAAAAATGAATGCATCAAAAAAAATAGTATATTAAAAATGAATATGATTATGATATAACAATAGAATAGTTGGATCACACCCTATATTCCTATAAAAATAAACATTTAGTAATAAAATAAGAGCAAGCCCCAGTTTATAACCTAGATAAACAAGTATTTATCAAATGGCATTTTCGTAAATGAGTTGCATTGAAAATTGTGTTTTTTTATTAAAATATATATATATATATATATATATATATATATATTTACTGTTTATGGGCCACTATGACAAGTTGGATAGATTTAAAAAGTTAACACCGTTAACCCTCTGTTTGCTACTATTCATCATCTTCTTCCTCCTACCTTCTTCTTCATGTTCATCTTCTTTCTCTTGTTCATATATTTTCTTCCCACCCACCTTATTCTTCTCCCTTCAATCTCTGTCCACTTTCACCTTCTCTTTCAAGTCCGCTCGACTCCATTTTCGCCGGCTTTTCCGGCGAAATTAAACGAAAACCCTAATAACAAAAGGAGAAATTAATGGCATGGTTAACCCTAAAGGGTAGCTGAGCTTTCCTTCCTCCACTAAAATTGACTTCGCACCACCATTTCCAGCGGCAAACCTAAATAACAAAGTGAGAATAACGGGCATGGTTAACCCTAAAGGGTAGATAAGCTTTTCTCCCTCCATTGATTTCGACTTGTTCGACGTCATATATTAAAAAGATGTACTTTCCACCATTGAAATTGACGGTTAAAGGAGGAGAGAGAAAATCTGAAAATACCAAAAGGTTGAAAGAGGATAGAGAAAACAACAGTTAACCAAAGTTAGATGTAATTTACATATACACCCCTTGATAAACAATTGTTATAAACTTGTATTTTCTCATAAAATAATGAATACGTAAAAACAATGAACATTTAGTAATAAAAATTGAATACGGAAAAGAAATGAATATTTAGTATATTAAAAATGAACTTGATTATCATAATATCATTGAATAGTGGGATCATGTCCTATAAAATGAACATTTAGTACAAAAATGTGAACATGTAAAAAAGAAATGAGCATTTAGTAATAAAAAATTAACACTTCAAATAAAATAAAAAAATTGAACATTTAGTATATTAAAAATGAACATGATTATCATAACTAAATGCCGAGTATAATATATACACATGTCCATCTTTCCTACAATAGTGCTCATTTTGCAAAATTATATGTTCAAAACTTGAAATAAATAACAAAGGTTCATAATAGACTAATTGATTATTTAATTAATTGAGCATCAATCGTTGTTCATAATACGAAATTGACATGTGTAAGTTTATATATGAATCTAATAACTTTCTCACTTTTGAAAGTATTATACTCAGATTAGTTAGATACATAAACACAAAACAATGTAAAAAATCTATCAAACAAATTTCAAAGAGTAAGACATGTACTGTATGTTATATTGTTTAAAACTATTATGTTCATAATAAACTCAAGTTATGTTCATTTAAGAAAATTGAAAAAGCTGCGAGGTGGGATGCTAGATGTTGTAATGAATATGTTTGTTTAGGTCCTTTCCCTCAAAGTCTCTTAATTTTGGCAGATTTGAATCTCCTTTAATCTAATCTCTGCCGGTTTGATTTCAAAAAAAAAAAAAAAAAAAAAAAAAAAAAAAAAAAAAAAAATTGAAGGTTCAACTAAAAAATATTCAAATTTAATAAGACTAGCTTACTTATGTTACTAAATACACACAAAAAAAATCCACTTAAAAATGCAATCAATTTCATATCCTTTTCTTTATTTAAAAAATATCGCAGATTTCAATTGCTTAAAATCTGAACAATACTTGATAAGAATTCCATCTAATTAGAACGTAAGTAATGATTTTCATCAAATAAAAAAATAGATGAAGATTTAAACTTCACAGATTAGAGAGAGCAGCGAATACATTATTAAATCACTTTCTTACTTGTTCCATAATAGTTCTCTACTTTTTATTTATGTTGGATGAAATCAGTACTTCCACCATTTTTAGATGTTCATTTTTGCAGAATACACCAAGTTTCCTAACCCAACCAATAAATGACAAGAATTATTCTATATATAAAAAATAAAAAAAAAATAAAAAATAAAAGGGACAATGATTTGGATTTGTGTAAATGATGATAATTTATCTGATTTATGGAAGAGATTGGTATTGAATTATGTAGATTGGAAATAGCCGGAGAGATGAGAAACAGTGGAAGGGAAAGCAAAATAGTATAAGAAAAAGCGAAAAACAAAACAACGTCGTTTCAACCGAGTCCACCTTATAATTTGTGCCCATATGGAGATGATGGAAATTGATTTTAGCACATCCTTAATTGATTTTGGCACACCCCTATGTGAGAAGAGCATAGAAAACTGTGCTCTCACATTGAGGTGTGCCAAAATCAATTCCGATAAACCTTCTTCGTTGAGTATTTCTTTGGTTGTAGAGTTGTTATAACTTTTTCGTTCATATTTTGTTGTCAAAGAGGAGGGAGAAACTAGAATGATTTTTTTTTTTTTTGGTGTAACAAAGGAAGAGTGGAGAGGAGGGTGCTCTTGTCGGCGGTAGGATAGAGGGTTAGGGTATTTATTTTGTTTACATATTAAGACAAAGCTAATGAACGCCCCGACGTCAGATAAAAAAGCTAAAAGACCTGAGCCAGCCCCAGTTAATCTTTATGATTGATGAAATTCGTCAATCTAATAAATCATTGTAATATTGAAGAACAATACTATATGTCACTTCATAAGTGAAGATAACAGCTGATTTAACGACCGTTTTGCCGTTACTCCACCGACACCGCCATCAAAACTCCCTCCATTGAAAAGCTTCCTGCTTCTTCCTCCATTAAAGTTTCCACGACCTCGATCACCATTGAAGCTTCCCCGGCCGACATCAACACCATTGAAGCTTCCCCAATCGTCTCCACCCACCTTTCCCGATCTTAAATGAAAACCCTATGAATGAAGGGTGAAATTAAAGTGAAGGTCAACCCCAAAGGGTAAGGGCTTGGTGACCATGTCCTCCATTGAAGCTTCATCCCTCAATTGAGCTTGATTTTCGAAAATGATGAAAGAAGTGATGTCGGCGGCGAAAGGAGAGGAGCTAGCAAATGATAGTGATTGTGATGGTGGTTGTGGTGGTGAAGAAGTGAGGTCGAAAATTTTAGAATTAAAGCGCCATTGTCGAGTTAGAAGAAGTGAGGATGAAGAAAGTAGTAAAAAAGAGGATTGAGGAAAGAGGAATTGAAGGAATAAGCTAAAACTAATGGACATCCTTGTAAATTTACAAAAACTAGAGCATATCCGTGCTAAAGCACATAATATATTAATCATCAGTTATTGTTATTAATTTTTTTTCTCAAATTTGAC